AACCAAATAATAAAATAAAAATAAATAATTAATATATATACTCTCTCTCCAAACAATTAATATTCCCTAATGCTAATATCAACTGATTTGTCTGTATTAGAAAATAAAAAACTAATGATTGGTTGTATTACCATATGAGAATAGGTTCATTCATTCACTCCCATGTCACAATCTTGAAATGATGGTTTATGCCAAACAAATTCCCTATAAACATAAATTTTTTATATGATTATATTGTCAAAATATAGATCAGAAGAATTAATGTGATCACTTACAATTGACACATAAAACTAATCAAAGAACAATGTAATCTCTTTTCATCATTTTCACCAATTCTCAGATTCCCATCTGTTACAAATGCTTTAATAAATTCTTTTGATGGATTTGAGAGTTTATATTTGGCAAATTTGATATCATCCTTACTTAATAATAACTTATTGAATAAATTTCTTTTTTTTAGTATTTTATAAATATCCTTCTGGTTATTTCTAATCGATTTATTATAAACAATTCCTTTGGCTAAGAGATCTGTTTCTTGAAGGCTATCTGATTTGATATTGTCGCAAATTATAAGAATTGCCTCTGGCATCTTATACTTTAATTTATAATCTCTAAAATTTTCTATTAATAATTTTGGTTGTAAATCTTCAATAATGTTACTATCTCTGGTTCGGAGAAAAGCTTTAGAAGTGTTTAACTCAGGTGAACATGTATTTGTAGCAGTGCCTAATTTGTTCTCCTGTGGGTTGTTATCAAAAAAATTCAGATTCATTAGAAACAAAAACAGTTAGTCTTATCATACAAAAGAATATAATTTACTTTATTATTGTCATTGGTAACAAGATGTTGATTTTTATTCTCGTCATTACTAATTGATAATTTGATAAAATTTTATATATTTGATTAATTTAATTTATTAAACTAGAGTGACGATGAGTGGCGGGCGATAACCACCATTGCCATCCTTAAAACACTTACCGTATTCTCCCGAATATAAGCAACACCCGAATATAAGCAACAGTAAGAATTTGCAACAAAAAAACAGAACAAATAGAAAAATAAATATAAGCAACACCTATATTTTTGAAAATTTTTTATTTGATTTCTTATTTTTATATAATAAAT